GAGGAGGCTTTCGTTCCAAGCCTCAAGACGAGCACACACTCAGAAACATACTTTCACTGAAATTATGCTCTCAAATACTGAAAGAAGAAAAGCTATGCTGCCAGAGCAACTGAATACACCCCTCAGCATGTTTAAAAAGCCACCGTATGCAGACTAAATGCCATATGCATCCCCGGAAAATGCAGGCACCGAAGCTGTCTCCTCGTTCGGTGGGGATAGTTGTCATCGTAATGTTGCACTAAAACAGGACGGCATGCAAATATCAGCAAAAGCAGGAGAAAAACACACCAGTTCCCAGGCACTAGCAATTAAGGTAGGAGGACCAATATGTAAAAATCTTGCTTATCAGGAAACCACATATACCCGTAAAGCAGAAGCTGCCTTTACCAGGCAACAGCCTTGCACCTTCCAGTATGGGCTACTTCAAAAAGCTTAACCCCAAGCTTAGTAATTGGTAAATCTTGATGGAATCCAACATTTAAGGTAAGGCAAGGCCTCATCTATTTGCAACACGTTCCTTGGTTTTTAACTCTAGATAGAAAAACACCCCATCAAAAGCCACTGTTGTTGTTATTTTCATGCTAGGCAAATGTATTATTTGTAAGAAGGTGACCTCTAGCAGAAAGGACGCATATAAAACAAAAATAATAGTTACAAGTGAGAACCACCTTACCTCCTCATCTACCTTCTCCTGGGCCTGGCTAATTTAAAAAAGAAAAAGATGGGGAACACATGACACCCGCATAGTATTTAAAGGCTATGTAGCGTCTTGATTTAAAATAAATCCCAGGAAGGAGGCCTGGATGTTTGGGAAAAAGAGAAAAACTGGAAGTAAAACCCTGTCAAAGACCCCCAAACGCGTGGCCCAGCTGCCGGCAGCTCCCACGCACCACCGAGCAATTTGCATCTTATTGCAGTGATGGTCTCAGGTCCCAGACTCCATTTCCTTCTCAAAACATCTCGAATAACCGGCATCTCCTCAGTCCTCTGGGTTCAGCCCTTTCAACGCACTCCTTGGGCAACGCAGGACCCCAACGGTTAAAACGCGTGGCCCAGCTGCCGGCAGCTCCCACGCACCACCAAGCAATTTGCATCTTATCGCAGTGATGGTCTCAGGTCCCGGACTCCATTTCCCTTCTCAAAACATCTCGAATAACCGGCATCTCCTCAGTCCTCTGGGTTCAGCCCTTTCAACGCACTCCTTGGGCACAGCAGGACCAAAACGGTTATGACCAAGCCCTGCCGAGGGAGCAATCCTGTGGTATGGACAAGGAGATGCCGGGATGGGGTTTTCTTTGGGGTGCTCCCTGGGGTGTGGTATGGATGAGAAGGAGACGCTGGGATGGAGTTTGCTTTGGGGTGCTCCCTGGGGCGTTGCACACACAGCCCCAAGAAGAGCCTCTTACCCCAGCACGGGTACCGCAGGGAGCTGCCGCTCACCCTCCCAGCCTTAGGGACAGGGCAGAAGTCTCAGAGGCACTGCTGTCCGTAAGTCCTCAGGCAGCCGGACAGACCGTCTGATCTCTGCTGGGCATGCCCCAGACTACCCTAAAATCTGGAAGGCAAACGGGCCTTTTACAGCCATGTTAACGATTCCGGTGCCAGCCTGCTTCTGAGTAAGCAGTACCTCCAACACACGCCGCGTGTAACGAAACCCACTCACTAGATAATGTACCATCGCTTCCACATCTCCCGCTTCTGATGCGATCATGTCATGCGGTGAAAGACAGATTTGCACTTAACTGTAATCCAGCAAGAGAAGAAAAATATCTGATATGCAAATTAAGTTGATGTCCTTACCCTTCGCCTAGTAAAGACATCCCATATGCTAAAGTATGTTGGATTTAACAGGTAAAATGATAGCGATGGTCAAATAATACAGTGACTAACAGTAATGCAACCGATCTCTTTTAAATGCAAATAGAGCAGCTATTTAGTTTGGAAACCCAGGGGGCAGAGAGAAAAAGCAGAAAGGCAGCGCAAGAAATTCGTTGCAGCCGAACATCAATTTTCAAATAACGTGAAAAATGTAGGACAGAACAAGAGTGGATATAATGAAAGAGGAGCTGGTGTCTGCAATAAAGTGGCCCTCTTTCATCGGTCGCTTTGGAAGTTTCGCTCTGCTGGGTACTTGCTAAGTGCCCTGCATGCCTTGAACGGTCCAGGGCACACACAGTGCTTTCCCCACGGAGCTGCCAATTAAAGAGGTTTAAGCAAGACCCCTGCTTATACTGACACAGGCTGGACAACATTTTTTTACTGCATATATAGCTCATCTGTACATCCAAAAGCGAAAAAAAAAAAAAAAAAAAGACCCCTCTGGTTACCAATGAAAAACTTGACATTTTGCAGAATTTCACATTTTTTTCCCCTCCGCACTGTCTGGATCTGTGTGAGGATGGCAGCATTTGTGCTGCAGGAGGAGGCAGAAGGAAGCTGCAGGTAGAAATACAAATAGGTTCAGCTGGAACAAGGGAAGCCAAAAGAAGCTGGGTGCAAACGTGGGCACGGGACTCGGAGCGAAGGGCAAGGGAGGCTTTGGGACTCCCTGCCGCTAAGCGACTGGAAAATGATTTGTAAGTACTTCTGCAAACCGGGCCGTTGTCCTAGCATCTGCCATCTGACTCCAAAGGAAGCGAGAGAGTGCTTGAAGGTCAAACGATTTATAAGGAAGAGAAGAGAGAAATAGGAACCGTTCAGCTCCATATTCCCCCTCGTCCCGGGCCTTTGAACGTGGCCACTGACTCCAGAGCCACCCTAACAAAGTAAAAAGCCCACAGAAGTCAGGACAGAAAGCTTAGTGGAGACGGCATGCGACCACGAGAGCCCGTCACACAATTCAGAAGAGATCCACGAAAAGCTCCTGGCATGGTCTGCTTTGCCTTTTCTTGGTAGCCCTAGTGAGTGCAGTTATGCAAGATAAAACATGAGGCTACGCCGATGCGAGCAGCCAAGAACTTTTATGTAAGTTCCCTCGCTGGCTTTGCACGGCTCCACTCCCACAAGGAGCTGGGCACGATAAGGAACCGGCTTCTCCTCTGCCATCCCTGTCTGCCAGCCAAGCTGCAGCCAGCATGGAGTGCAGAGAGAAAAACCTGTTCCAGAGACGCCAGAGACCCCAGCACCATCCTGGGGATGTACACACGCATATCGCCTGTTTTCTACTTGCTATGCTTCCTGCTAACCCACCCTAAACCCAAGATTTTTCAATTCCCCGTACAGTGCTGGAGTAGACACTCGTGCTGCAGTGCACTCAGAGCTGTTGAGCACTTCAAAAGCTTCGCGGGGGCTGCACGAGAAAACCCTCCGCACCGCAGAGAGGCACGAGAAGCACGTACAGGAGCCCGAGCCCTGGCAAACCCAAACCCCAGCGATGCCCGTTTCCCGCCATGTAGCAGGGGATGAGAACGAGTACTTAAGTAATTAGCGTTGTCAAAGCAAGTAATCCTGTTAGCCAGCATAACTTGTGTAAGGGCTTTAGTCAACTTGGTGCAATTGGTTATCTGACGCACAAATATCCACTTTTTTAAAGATCTGAATTTTATCCTTATGAACGGTCAATTCTGTTGGAGGAGGGCGCAGAGGAAGGGGGCTCCTGCAGCCAGCCTGACCTGAAGTCTGGTGTGGAGCTGAAATCTCGCACCCCCGGGGCACCGAGCAGAGTGGAAAAGTCTTGTCTACTTCCTGCTCCTATCTGCAAAATGGGGAAATAACTCCTTATCTCACAAAAAAACGCCACGGCTTAACGACAGAGTGCCCAAGCAGCAAGATGATACAGTGTGCTAAGCTGATCCTCAGAGCCAGCTCCTTCTGTATACTGCCCGCAGACAATAATTAACAAAAATGATGGATAAAACATTCACAACATTGCGACAGCAAGCACCATGATCTTCATGCCATCTTCCCTTTGTATACAATTCCATGTGCTGCACCTAGTCTTGTTTAAATAGTGAAATCTTTAGGTCTGGGACTTACAATTTTGCAAGGGCATCAAAACACACTCTGTAGATTGCTCCTGCGAAAAAACTACAATTCCCACTCTACTAACAGGATACACGCTGCACGGCAAACCACAAACAAAAGGACGCAAATGAAAGTGAACTTTTAAGGTGTAAAAGGGATTAAAAGGTCAGCTGTGCTTGAGGGACTTCAGTAAGAGTACTGCAATATCTTTGCTAGACTGCGGTGCAAGACTCCGTTTACTACAAAATTAACGCAGATTTTATTTGACAATCCAGGAGCAAGTGGGTATTCACAGCCCTCCAAGAGGATATGGATAGTTGAAGATGGGAGATTTTGATAAAAAGCTGCTTCTCCACCACCAACTCTACAAAACTAAAGCATCTCAGCCCATTTATTTGTGCGAAAAGACTATATCCCTCCAGGAAAAAAGCTGTATTTCTACATCCATACTTAAGCTATGCCCCTATTAAGCTTCATTATGGCTCTTCCAGCACGGATTGGGTCAGAACATGCAATCTATTGTGCGTCTTCCTTGGAGAGAAGTTGAAATGAAGCAAAGATCCTCTCCTCCCAGGACTGGAGGCAGTAGCAGCAGAGCAGGGCTGACTGATCCACACCTCCAAAAAGAGCCAGTACCATGGAAGAGAAAACAAAGTGATCCTCAAATTATTGTTTATGTATTTCAGAGTCCCTTGGATGACTGTACAAAGCAACAAAGTGAGATTCATTACTCAAAAAGGAGCAAGCGCTATTTGCCTGAAGTGGCTGCTACATGGTTTGTTCCCTGAGCGGTTGGGTTTCTGATGAAAAGGAGGTGTACTGTCACCCTGGGGTGTGCGGGGCTTCGAGTCCAAGAAAGTCATCCAGGATTAAACATGCTCAAGAACAAACCTGAGAGAGATTTCTCTGCAACTCCTGACACCCACCTGGGAATGAAACTAAAGGGCACTGACGGTGATAGCCCGCTTCCCTGCTTGCTCCTCATTAAATGAAAGATATTACAGATAGTTAAACAGATGGTTACAGATGCATTTTGGGGAGGAAAAAAAAAAAAAAAGTACATTTTGGGCATTCCGAAGCAGCCAGTACAGCTCAGACAAAACTAAGCACAAGTAAAAGCTGTCTTTTCTTCTGCTCAGACACACGTAAGGTACTAACAGCTTCCAACTACGGCACCCTCCCCACCTGTGCTGGAAGGCACCTAAAATATTTGAGTGACGTTCAGCTAAGGGTTTGACGATCGGGGATGACAGATGTCCATCTGCCACGACAGCGATCTGGCTGCCAAGGAAGCCGGACCTGGCTGTCAAAGGTAGAAATGTTCACAGTGAAAAGTCTGCATGGGAGCCATCCGTACCCCCTTTGAAAGGCGGAGAGAAAGCTGTCTCCTGTGTTGAGCTGTACATAGCGTGAGCTGCAGGTCAGAGTTGTTTTGGGTTTTTATCCCCAATTTCCAAGTAGCCCAACGTTATTTTTATCAGATATTTCTATTCCCATTCACACCTAACCTACATTCGTCTATTCAAAGTTGAGTCCAGGGCTCAAACGGAGCCAGCTGAGAGGCAATAACCTGGAGAAGCTCAGCAACGAAAGGCAACGGCAATGCCATTTTGTGCTTGCAGAAAGCTTAACTTTCAGGGATCGTGCAGAGCTTTCACAGTCATTAACAGGGAACAAACCCTTGAAGGCAAGTGATGGATGCCGTCGTTACCTACAGCAACGCTCCAGCCAACCACTGCGTCTCTATCAGGAGGTCCAGACCAAAAGCAAGGATGGGCTGAACCTCAGCAGCTAGAGTCGAATTCAAACTTGCCGTTAGTCCTAATATTTATTAGCAACTACCCAATTTTCCATGGAATAATCTTTTTTTTTTTTTTTTAAGTTACAATCCATACAAATTTCCGGTCATAAAATACCAAGATGTCATTGCTTTAAGAATCCCCATGCTGGTTTGCATGAAATTTTCTCTCCCCTGGGGTGCCTCAGGGCAAATTTAGGTGAGAGCCTGCAAAAACACGATGTATGCTTGATACCAATTTTTTCAAAGCCTGGACCAAGCCCTGACAAATAATCTGTGTCATTTTTCAGTCTAAAGCAGTGCTGGCACAGGCACCCTGACCCTGCTATGTCAGGGAACTACTGCTCTCTCCAGCTACAGAAGCTACGCGGAAACAAAATCATCACAAATTGGAGCAAATATATTGCTCCTCCAAACCATCACGTGCCCCATCCCCATTAACAGAGAGTATCTGGCACACAAGACTTTGAGTATCTCTCTCATCCATTTTGCAAGTGTAAATTCCTACTGAATGGCAGCTCCTTGAAACATAGAGGAGCATTAAATGCAGTTCGTAACGCCCCAGTTTTACCCGAAACTAGTCCGAGCTATGCTGCTGGAGCTCAAGCCAGCCTCCCGGTGTGCAACTGGTTCAGAGAGCTCGCTCTGCTCCTTACCTTGAGCCAGATTCCTTTTTGTAGGACAACCAGAATATCTCCTCACAATAACCCTAAAAATACCTGTATTGTACACTGAATTTTACCAAGCTGAATGATTTCTTCGAAGGGGGAGAGACACAGTCATCATGATACTAGAGCCGAACGAAACTGAGAAAGACTGATCAACTGAACCGTTCCCATCAGCAAATCTGTCTTTACCTTATCAACTACCTTTCAGTCATTCAAGGAGTAACACCCAAATTTTGAGGCCATGTCGACTCTCGGTTACCAGAATCTGGCACACAGAGTCTATGCAGAAGCCAGGTGCATTTAATTCCAAAAAAAGCAAGCGACAGCCCTGTGTATCAAAACGCAAATAAAAACATAATGTGTGCCAAACGAGCATAACCCAGGCCACGCTTAAAGCTCCCACGGACGCCCAGAAATACCAAGTGCAATGCCAAGAAGCTAGAAAGCCATAAAAGCTACCTAAATCAAAGTCCATCTTTGCATTTCGGAAGCCATACAACCTTTAAAACCTTATAGCTACCTGAACTGTGCTCACGGACTCCTAAAACTTTAATCGGGATAGAAGGTAATTATCCTTAAACTGTTCTTCTGCTGGCAAAACACCTAGCACGGACAGTAAATAGTGTTATCAGATCAGAGGGGGGAAAAAAAAAAAAAAAAAGAGGTGCCTTTGCCAGAGTAAACCACAGCTACTCAAGGAGGGTTCACCGATGGAGTTGTGTGTCAAGTTTTGCCATGGTAGGCAAGCCCAGAGGCGGCTACGATGGCCCCTTGCCGGGCTGCTGACCCACGAGGTGGAGCTGGCACACTGCTCCCTCTCTGTGCTCCTCAAGGAGCCCGGTAAGATTAAAACCGGGAGTATTTAATTAGAACAGAGGCGACTTAAGACTGTCATTACACATCAGCCGCCCAGCTCTCAGCCAGGGGAGCCATCCGCAAAGCTTTCCCTGCAATCAATCGGCTCTTCACGCCAGGGTTCCTGCCCTGCCACCGAAAATGAAGCCGAACCTCTGCTGCAGTCGAAACCCAGTCCACGCCGCAGTGTCAGGCCAAAGCGCTCTGCAGCTCAGAAACCGCCTCAAAAACGAGCTGAATCTCCTCAACCTCCTCGGGAACGACGCAGACATTAAAATCGTACTTGCTTGCAAGGTCCGTCAAGTTTCCAGCGCCCGCGTTGCTACACGTAGGTCCCTCTCTTAATGACCAGCCCTGATGCGGATTTGCCTGGGATTGTCATTGAGACAATCTGTGCAGAGCCAAGTCCTCTGCCGGGGACACGGGCTCTTTACATCACCGAGTGCCAACTCACCAGCTACTGTCAAGGAGAGCACATAAGCCCTCCACATCAGCCTGGAAAAAAAAATTCTCTTTTGAGACCCTCAAGCTCTGTGGACTTTCCAGCAGTTAAAAATATACTTATTCCTACAAAACGATCACGCGACAGCACGCCAACCCACAGCAAACCTGGCGTCTTCCTCTCATCGGGTCCATCGGTGGGACGGTCTCTCAGCCAACTCGAGGGGGTCACTGCTACGCTTGAGTGAAAAAGAGAAAAGAAAAAGGCCAAGGTCTACAGCAAACAGCTGCAGCTACTTAAAAAAAAGTGAGCTCACCAAAGGAGACGGGAGGGGATTCCTAGATGTCAGCAGGCAGGGAAATTCACCACCTGTTTCACAAGGTTAGCAAGCTGCCAGCGCGTCCACTAATAGATCATTAATACAAGAACAGCGGGGTCTTTGTGTCAAAGGCAAATCCCCCACCTGCTGGTGAATGTAAATCTGACCCCACCAGCGGCAGGGGAGGGGGTGCTGGCTCCAATTTTAAAACTACTTTAAGCAGATACAATTTTGCACGTTGAGTGCTTTCAAGACCCCGCTCAGGACCATGTCGTAGGAAGGAATCGGCTGCTCCATGCAGGAAACCTAAACAAAATTACAGCAGAAACACGCTGGAGCCCAAGCACCGTGGTGGAAGCGCGCAGAGCCCAGCCTGCAGGCCCCCGGAGAAGTGACTGTTTCACTGCATCCAGCAAAAGGCGGTCACATCATCGATAAAATGAGAATTTGAGCACTTGCAATCACCACCGCAGAAAAAAAAAAGAAAAAAAAGAAAAAAAAAAAAGACCAATTCACACACAACAGGAGTCTCGGTTTCTCTTCCCATCTCACGCCTTAATGCTTCAACCCGAGCTGCATTCGCACCGGATCAACACAGCGCTGGTTAAAGCATTTCTTGCTATGCGCTTACTCCAATGCTTGACATTTATACCTGCATATCACCTTATAACCACACAGAGGTGCAGACCATCTGAAGGGAGCTGCAAACTAATTAAAATCTTCCCAGCGGCCACACTGGAGATCAGCCAGAGCACCCTTCTTACAAACCAAAGAGTAAGTAGCCCAATAAACGGGCTAAATCAGTTCCAGCAATGCTTTCAGAGCAGCTTCACAGACCTTCACGTGCCAGGGACGGAGCTGGATGACAGGAGCCTCCAGTTACAGCTGAACCAGCACAACCAGCCCTCTGCGCTTCTGTACAGGGTCTTCCTCCGGGAAACCTTTGCGATCCGTATCCAAGAGATCACCTTTGGGATAATATTCTCACTGCTGTTTGAGAAGCCATTTTACCATGTTCACTGCCCGATAAAAGGGAACGTTTTCTAAAGCAGGCTAAGGAACCGAAGGCTTGTACTGGGATCGCTGTTGACACCACTTCTCCCCGTTTTCCTGAAATTCACCCCAAACCACTTGCCTTAGACTGGGGAGATCCTTGCACACTCTCACCAGATCCGGCTGGGAGCAGAGAAAGTGTTTTAAATTCACATGCTACAGCCACCACCACTGCAAAGGTATTCACTACAGGGGGAGGGAAGCACTAAGAAGCCACGAGATTGATGTAGACTTCTGGAGAGATAAACCCCACAAGCCCTCTCCCGACAGCGTACCCAGGCTCCCAGCTGGAGGAGGTCGCATTACTCAACACGCTCGCATCCACCTCTGCTCCTAATGGAAACACAGCGAGATCCTATTAAGGCTTCATAGCTGGAGATGCTGCAGCTAGAGACAGCAGCGAGGTTTAGCTTGGGAGGCTGGGAGGTCTAAAGTCAGAGTGCAGCCCGGATAGTCTGACGCTCCTCCTCCCTCCCAGCGAAACCTTTAAAAGCTGCACTGAGATTTCTTTTTTCCCCCACTGATTTTGAGCACCCACTCTTCATCCTCCATCTCACCTCTGGTCCATGCCATCTAAACCAGAGATGCTCTGGGTGCAGAGCTGCTCCCCATCCCTCCCTCGGCCCCTACACCGAGCTCCCTGCCCCAAAGGGTTTTCCCAGTACACTTGACCCGGCTCTCAAGTATAATCGGCATATGCCTCTTCGGCACTGCAAGCAGACCAGCCTCCGAGAGCCATTCAGAGCCAAGTCTTGCATTATAGGATAATGCTGATGCCTTTATGTAGCCTGTTTCCTCGCTCCCGCTGCTTAATGATGTCTAATTCCATTACCATCCAAGACATTAACGCACTGTACGTCTAGTAAACACGCCCGCCATCCCAATGCAACCTGCACTGGAGCACGAGGGATCGAACAGGGAACACCTGGAAAACCAGCCAAGCCAGGAAGGATCCCGGACAAATATAGGTCTCCAAGGAGTATCTTTAGATTAGCAGGCGGCTCTGCCCCCACCGAGACCCCAGGATTTACCTAAATAGCTCCCTTCATCACAAGCAGCCCAGCGTTCATTGCTATTTTAAGCCAGCACCCTGCCCTACTTCCTAAGGAACAGCCTGCCTTCTCCTGCCCATGCAACCCAACGAGCACCGAACACACTACAGCTAGAGGAGACAAATTCCTCTCAACTCTGCCTTCTCTTATTAAATGAAAAATACTATTTCGGCACAGTACCTAGCTAATCGGAGCTCATTTGTTCTAATTGCTACAGAATGGGCTCTCCATGCAGCCGGCGTAGCCTTGAACGGGGGGGAAACGGGATTAACCTTTCACAAGCTGATATCCAGATAGCAGGGAAATAGAAAAAAACATATTAAACATGGGAGGCTCCAGAGGGGCACAATCTTCCCTCCTCTCTGTCCCACCTCCAGCACCCATCCGAAGCATCTGGTGTTATTCTGGGAGGAAATAAATAAAAAGACAGCCCAATCTGCTTTGCCTGACGCCTTATTACAGTTTTCTAAACAGGTTTTAGTACCAAGGGCTAGCCTTGGGGTTTAGATTTTGCCATCAGCGGTGGCATTTCTGTTAATTAACATGTCAGCAGAGCATCTCTGTTACAGGCTACGGAGAGACCTGGCTCCGGGAAGTTTTGTACACGAAAAAAAAAAGGTGCCCCGGCTCTGTTTGGGGCAGACGGGCTACACGGAGCATCTCAGAGCTGAACGGCTTGCATGACCCTACGATGTTTGCAGAAGTGCTGCTTGGCGCTGCATTTGACTTCTGATTCATTTTTGGATAAAGTGCCACATGATCTGGCAAAATCAGCACCAATTCTGCAACATCCAGTCTCAGTGCAGCCAGAAACCTGCCCCTTTTCTTAGCACACCCCATTTACAAATAACGAAGCATTTTTCCTGCAAGGAAAACACCCAAAATACCAGATTCCCAAGTAATTCAGAGAGATGCTATGGGGTTCATGCTTTAAGGGCTATCTGCACTCAAGACCTTCTTGAGCTCTGGCCAGAGAAGTTGCTGTACTATGACACAACTTGCTTTTTAGAGATCCCACCACTGCATCTTGACTCAGACGGTATTTGCACTTTTCCTCTGGCACGTCCAAGGTCTGAGAGCATGCACCTTGGCCTTTATCTCCATTTTAAACCATATTCACGGCTCTTTCACCCCCGCCAAGTATTTCTTATTAGCTACAAAACGGCAACATTAAACAAGACAAACCAACTCAAGCATTCCAGAAGGCAAACGTGAAACCAACAGCTATCGCGGTGGTGGCACGACACATTTCTTCTTTTCAACAACCACAATTTCCCTTGTATTTAAGATTTGCCTGAGCCTTCCCTTGCTTTGCATGCAATTACAAAGCTACTTTGAGTTTTGTATCGGTGTGCTCTGTTATGAAATTCTCTACCGTTCCCAACCTACTGGAGAAAGCCCAATGCTCAACCATCCAACCGCTTTACAGGAGTAGTAGTTTATATTAACAACAAGGTAGGAGGAAAGCTACACATTTTTCATAAACTGAAAGCATCTCCGGGTATCCACTTGGCAGCAGCCCGGGGAAAGCTCTCCAAAGCCTCTGAAGACGGCATCTATTGATCTGACGCTGGTTTTTGGCTCCCCAGAGGCACGGCTTCTGTTGAAGGCACCGGGAGCCTCGCTGAACAAATCCCGTGGGATCGGACTCCATGCCTCCAGCAGCATCTCCGCCACGCTACAAAGGGACACGCTTGCTGAGCGGAGGGAAGAGGAACAGCTCCGTCGGGTGTTTTCTGTTCGAGCGTGACTTCACCCAAGCCGAACACGCACGTGGTACGCGATATTGCAGGGGCAAGCGCGCTCAGATTGCCCCGCCGTTCTTTCACTCCCAGAAACCTTAATTAGGTATTAAACAGATGAGCTACAACGTATCTGGGAGGTTGACACCGCAAACCAGACAGATGATGTGTAAGAGAGCATCACAATAGGGGTCTTGCACTTTAAATGTATTCCAGCCAGGAAAAAACAAACTAGGTATGCAGAAAGGTGCCTGAAAAAAGCCAAAGTGCTCGTGAAAGGACAGCAAAGCACAAACTGGGAAAACCCACTTGTTTAGAGCACGCCTTTAGCTACGCGGTCTCAGCACCGGCCCCAGCTTTACCACCAGCGCACAATTCCTCAACACCAACCCACTGACGGTGGCTCCGTCTGCCCACGTAGAGAGAAGCAGAGACCCAACAGCACTTCGTGAAACAGCGCAGGCACTATTGAACAGGACGTGGATTAGGCACGTCACTGACTACTGACACACACGCAACGGCTGCCAAAAAGAGGGCACCAGATCCTAGCTGCTCCTCGTTCACCAGCTCCATAATGGTGCAACACTTTAATAATACAGACATCTAGAAAATCGCTCTAGATTATTTGCTTTGGCTCAGTCAGGTGTCTAAATACCAATATCCTGGGTTTTTTTAAAGATTTTTTTATGGATGCAGCTGCAAACACAGTAAGCTGGATGGGTTTCCGCCATTCAGCCATGTTCACGTGTCTTTGGAAAGGATCCTCGCAGCACACAGCAATGCTTACCACTGCCGTTGCTTCCCAGAGGACGTCACACCTTGCAAGCACGATTCGCTGGAGGTGGAACGAAGCAGGATCCATTCCATGCAATAAAAAGCTCTGCAGGTTTGTTTTCACAGGGTACGGGGGGGAGGAAGGCTCCCACCATACCCGAGTCCTGAGCTCGAGCATCCAACCTACGTGCTTCAGGGGCACTGCAGCAGCCCAAAGCATCGCGCCCACCTGCCTGCAAAACGTGTATTTCCGA